AATCAGAGAAGTGCACAGCTACAGCAGGAATTGTGTGCTCTGGGACATCCCAGAGCCTATTGGGGTGTCTCCATCCTTTTTTCAATGATCCTGCTCACTTCAGACATCCTGGGGCTCTTTTCTTACTGTGCCTTGGCCATTTTCCAAAGCAGCAAAGGGTGCAGGCAGTGATCATTTCTGAGAGAGCAGCTCCAAGGGCTGTGATAAAAGCTGGGAGCTCTGTGCTGTTGTTGGTGTGATATCAGCCCACACAAAGGGCTGTTCTCCGTGCCCAGCCTGCAATTGGAATCACTCAGGCATTGCATGTAAAGCCCTGCCTTTGACAGAACTGCCCAGAAAGGCTCACACTTTGCACACAGATTATTGTCAGGAGTGCAGTGGGAGTGCAATGAACCTGCTCTGGAATCAGCCCTGACTGGCACAGCCAGAGCTCCACGCAGGGGGGCATCTCCTCTTTCCACTAGATGTCATAAACTGGTTTTTTTCCACATTTTCAGAACCTGCTTCCCGTGCTTTCAGCTGCTCCACCACTTGATGAAGGCAGTCACGTTGATAATCCCTGAATAAACTCCTCTTTTTTGGATTTTGGGCATTTTTTTCCCTCTAAGTCATGCTTAGCTTCACGCTTTTTTCCCCACCTCGCACACACGTGCCAGCACATTCTTGCTGCCATGCTGCAAATGCCACACTGTGGCACGTCTGCTGCAAGCTCAGAGCTCTTTTGGGCTTTGATTTGCATTTTTAACTTTCAGCTGCTCCAGCATCTTCCCTGAAAGTGGTGATGACATTCCTGTTCTGTTGCTGAGCAGAAAAAATGGTGAGGTTTAGCTTTTCTCAGTTAAGTCCAGCTCAGAGCTCATTGTATGTCCACTCTGTGCTGAGCCTGGGAAGGTAAAACTCAGCCCAGCCCTCCCAGAGGAGGCTGCATTTTGTCCAGAGGCGATGACTCCTGGCAGGGGCACTGGGAGTGTCATGGCAGGGGTGGCACTGGATGGGCTCCAAGGTCCCTGCAACCCAAAGCATTCCATGATTCTCTAAGTGTCCCAACTTTTTCAGAGCTGGAGGAGCTGTGCTGACCAAGTAGGACAAACCATCAATTCTCACACTTCACCCTGGTTTAATCTGAGGACAGGCACTGTAAAACCCCTGCTCTGAGCTGGCCTAACAGATAGCCAAGACTCCACCTGAGTTGTCTCCGGGAGATCTCCACATCCCCGATGGAAAAGCACATATTTGTATGTGAGGTGAGCTTTGCTTTGGGAGGTGTTGGCCCTGCACACCTGGGAGAGATCAAACATTCCTGAAGGCCCAATTACAGATCCAAGACAAATGCTGAGCTAAAAAAATAAGGGCTAGAAAACCTCCTCCTGCTCTTTCATCTGTGATGCTTCCTCAGAACTGTTCTATTTCCCTAAGGAAAAAGAACTGGGGAATATAACAGGAGGAAAAGGCAAATGAAGTCATGCTGCTTCTTCAGAGCTAACAGGCTGCAAGGATCTGAAATGCAACCTTTGTTCTTCCAGAATATCCACCTTGCAGCCCAGAGCACTGGGAAGCTTTAGGAGTGTCTGACAGCCTGAACAGGTTTCTCTTTATCCCACACAGTTTCAGGAAGAGTCTAGGGATGTGGCCTATCCAGGCTTTCTGGTGTTCCCAGACGCTGCTTCAGGTGGGGAGAGCACAGGAAGTGCTGGATCACAGCGACATTGCCTCACAAAATCATGGAAATCAGTAAGGCTGGAAAAGCCCTCAGACTTCCTCAAGTCCAGCTGTGAACCCAGCACTGCCAAAGCCACCTCTAATCCATGTCCCCAACATGTCCCTGGCCTCAGTGTGGCAGAGGACAGATGGAACCAGCTGTGGCCCGAGGGATCTGCATCCTGCAGCAGCTCCAGGGGCTGGAATATCCCTGCACTCTCCCCATTCCAGCTCCAGGGGCTGGGCTGGCCCTGCACTCTCCCCATTCCTGGAGCTGGTTTGAGGCAGGGCTCTGGGGACAGCCCAGCCCCATGTGTGGGATTTTAGTTTTGGAGTGGTAATGAAGAAGGAAATGTCATTTTAGGGAGTCAGTTCTGAAATGGGTGGAGATGAATTAATTGAGGAGCTGAAGGTTGCTCTGGATGTTGCTCCAATGTTTCTGTGGATGGATGTGGAAAGGAGGGGAGGAAATGTCTCCACTAAACCCCAGGGAGACTTTCAGGGGATGTGGAGCAGGGCTGTTGGTTTGACCTGGCTGCCAAGTCCATTGTGGGAGCCAGCTGAAGGAGGCAGGACTGGTTCTCATGGATAGGATGGATTTACTGGAGTTAATTTCCAAAGATAAACACAATTATCTGAACTGTTCATTACCCATGAATTATCTCAATGCAGTGTGGTTCCCCAGGATGGAAGATCTGCTCTGTCAGAAGTTTCAGAAATATCAAAATAAACCAAACAAGCCCACAAACTCAGAACAACAAGGGAAGCAAACCTGCCATAATTAGGTCCCAAGGGATGCTTATTCCCAGCTCGATGGAGAAATTAAGTCAATACAATGGAATGGTTAAATATTGACTGAGCTGTAATATTTAATCAAGGAAGATTCATACTGCTCCTCTTTCAAAAGAGCTTGAGCTGCTTGTTTTATTGGCTTTTTAATCAATGTTTTAATTATATCAGTGCTCTAATTTCATAATAAGCTTACATTAATTAAGACAGCTCTTCTATATGCAGAGAGTGATAGGAAAACCAAACCAAATAAGAGGAATGTGATGTTCTCCTGCTCCAGAAGAGATTGAGACTGTGCTGTTTACACTCATTTACTCTTGCAAGGGAAATGATACCAGGAATTTGTGGGACTCAGAGTGACCACGAATTCTTTATTTATGTTTAGGGCAGCTCTGCCTCTGATTCAGTGAAAAATTAGTGGAAATAAGAACTTGGCTAAGCACATACCCAAGGTTGTGCCAGATGTGTACCAAGTTGTGCATCAGATTTCTGGGGAAAAAAAGTATTTGGGTATAATGGAAGATAAATGGGGATCCCCCCCCCAAAATGGGCCTTGGAATCTTCTGGTGGATATCAGCTCTGCCAGAGGGATGAGGGTGAGTGGAGAGGACTGCACTGTTTGTTAAACAGAGACATTTCTCCTGGTGCTTGGGACACTCACAGGTTCACACAGGCTGGGAAGAATCATTGTTTTCCCTGCATTTTTTCCTTCAGATGGGGAGGAGTGGATGGGTTATCCTGGATCAGCAAAGTGTAGGGCACTGCCTGGACCAACAACTCATTAAACTGCTGATTAACACTGCTGATTAGCACTGCCCCTCATTAAACTGCTGATAGCACTGCCCTGTCTTACTGCCACTGTCAAAAACCAGTGACTGCTCCAGGGTAACCACAGTTAGGATAAAATCCTGGAGGAAAGATGTTTAGTGCTGTGGTTGGAATAAATCAGGGACTGTCTCACTTCTTTGCCCTCCCCCCTCGGTGGCACTGGGGACACCTCAGGGCCTGTGGTGGCCTGTGAGGTGATCGTGGCTGGACTCCTGCAGCCTAATTCCTGATGCAAATGCCAATGGAAAAGCAATTCCTCATCTGTTTTCCAGAGGCAGCAGGCAGGCAGATTCCTCCTGCTGAGCAGTGGCTCGGGCAGGCAGCAGAGTGCTCCTGGTTTGGATCAGGACAGAGTGGAAGCAGCCAGCCCTGCTCCTGAGCCTACCTCAGCATGCCAGGGAAGGAGCGATTCCCTGGGACACAGAGAGCAGCACTGTCTCAGCCAGAGGCACTAAAACCTTGTGGTGAGATCATGTCTTGGAGCAGGCCGTGTTTGGAATGCCAGGAGGATGCTGTTATCCCAGGATTTCTTTGCCATGCAACCAGACCTTTGCAAAGCTGGAGCCTTTGGATACAAAGGATTTTCATTAATGAGGTCACCGTGGCTGGAAGGGCTCCTGTGTCCCTGGGGTCACAGTGACTTTAATAATGCATTATTTCCCACTCAGACGTGATACAGACAGAAGAGGATTTGTGTAGCCAGTGAGATAAGGTGTCCCAAAAGCATTAAAAAATGTCTGTGACTGTATAAATAAGTTATTGGGAACTGGAAGGGGATGTGTTGAACTGGCAGCTTTTTGGAGCTGCCCTCAGCTGATGTTGCCACATCTGGTGATTGTCATCTTCTATCAGCGTGAGGAGGCTGTGAGCTGTAAAGGGAAACTGTTTGCCTTGTGAGGATGCTTCATTGACTTTTATTAACACTGGGGTTTAGCTCTACCTGCTGCTGGAAACTCAGCTCAGGCAGGGGCGTTCTCCAGCAATTCCATCACAAATCCTCATGGTCAAACCCAGTGAAAGGGGTAAGAGTATAAACAGCACTGAGCTGCCTCTGCCAGGGTGTGAAGGATGTCTCTTTCAGTTACTCAGAGGGCATCGGGATGTTAGTGTCTCCAAAGCTGAGATTAAAAAGAATTAAATGTTAATGCTCCTTTGGCAGGGTGGCTGTGGTGGAACTGCAGCAATGACAAACACAGTGAAGGGATTTCTGCCATCCCCTGGTGTGGGGTTTCTGCCCAGCACTCAGCACTGCCACGGGCTGCAGGCACCTGCTGGGGCCTTGGGAGCTGCCCCTGCTGGGACACGTCCCCAGGGTGGCACCGGGGCCAGAGCACAGCCAGCTGCACCGGGCAAAAGCCATCGTCCCCACCCTTCAGCTTGGACAGGGCCCTCAGGGGCTCCCTTGAACCCTGGTCAGAAATGAACTGAGCAGCAGGAGCCACGGACGCTGTGCTCGTGGAGATCCCCTCCTGTGAGGCTGCCTTCAGAAACCAGATCTGTGTCCTCCTGGGGATCTCCTGCACCTCCGTCCTCCTCCTGCTCTCAGCACTCCCTGCTGCAGCGCCACTGGAGCTCTCCCTGACAGCAGAGCCCGAGCAGCAGGACGGGCCTGAGGAAGCGCCCAGCCCCGCCAGAGTTGGGACAAGAATTCCTCCCACTGCTGCATCCGCTCTCGGCTGCCTCAGGCGGCCCTCCCCGGCCGGCTGCGGGTGCTGGAGGAGGCTCGCACACACCGCAAGAGAGCGTTGAGCATGGCCTGAGGGGTGAGCACAGGGGCTGCTGGGGCTGGCATGAGGGACCGACGCTGAGGGATCAGGGACAGGCGCTGCAGGGATGTGGGACAGCAGTCGAAGGGCCCAGGGGACAGGGCCTGTCCCACTGCCCCAGCAGCAGCCACGGACCCTGGCCCAGGTGTCCCACCAGGGGCTGGGCCTGGGAGCAGGGGAGCACCCGGTGTGCGCTCACTGCTTGCCCAGGCTGCACAGGGACAGCGGCACCTGCTGGGGCCCTGTGGAGCAGCCCCCATCGTGCCACGTCCCCAGGGTGGCACAGGGGCCAGGGCACATCACATGTACTGTGTGAGAGGACCTTGACTCCAAAGAGCCATTTCCCAGGTGATGGGCCGCTGGGGGTGGTGGTTTCCCAGTGGTCAACTCCCAGTGACAGCAGATCAGTGTCCCCTGAGTGCCCAGCATGTCCAGGTGTGCAGCACCAAACTCCCAGTGACACCACAGCAATGTCCCCTGAGTGCCCAGCATGTCCAGGTGTGCGGTATCAAACTCCCAGTGACACCACAGCAGTGTCCCCTGTGCCCAGCAGGTTCAGGTGTGCAGTGCCAAGGCCCTGGGCAGAGGCTGGAATGAGCACAATCATCATTGATTCCCTGGGGAACGCTCAGAGTCTCCTGTGTGGACACGTGGGCAAATACCTCAGGTGCCTCTTGCTTGGTCCTGCTCAGCCAGAGCTCCCACAGCCCCTCTGGAATGCCTGGCATGGCCTTCCTTCCAGAGGGAAGCAGAGGAAAATCATCTCTGCAGCCATCATGGTGTCCAGCAGCTGCTGTGCCACGGGGCCACTGAGAAGAGGCCCTGGAGCTCTGGTCAGAGGCTGCTGGGCAGGGATTTCCCTGTCCCTCCTGAGTCCCACACACGCCCTGGTTGTGCCCGTGGTATGAGATCAGGTAGATGCCATCAACTCCCACCAGATCCAGCTGCTCCAGGGTAGATCCTCAGATCCCAAACCTTCAGCACCACCTGCACAGCCAGCCATTCACCTGCTGAGTTCCCCTGCCCTTCCCAAACCCTGACTCCTTTGTCTGGGAGGTCACAGGAGAACAGGATGTGCTCCTGGGCCTTTCAGCACCTTTGGATGTTCAGAGGTGTCCTGTCACAGCACCAGCAGCCCCCGTGTCACACAGTGGGAGTGGACAATGACATCTGGGGCCCAGCAAGCCTCACATCCTCCCAGTGCCATCCCACATGTGAGCTCTTTCTGGGCACCAGATTCTCTGGAGAAATCACCTGGATGACAAGCAGGAGTTCTTAGGAGAGAATCCCCAAGTGCTGATCCCTGAGGGGCATTTTTGGGGCCCTGGTTCTGACAGGGGGAGGTGCCTCAGCTTTGCCTTTTGCCTTTGCTGCTGCTCTTCTCAGGGGTGCTGTAGTACAGCAAGGCTGTTAAAGGAGATAATGTTTAACTGCAGGTTCTTTCCCATTCCTTGATCACCTGAAATGGTTTTGTCTTCTCCAGCTCCTCCATAAAGGAGTCTTTATTCATGGATGCTGACTCTGATTTTTTTGAAAATGCTGCAATAATTGCAATTATGAACTGAACTCCAGCTTCATGCCTGACATATCCTGAATGGTTTAAGCAGTTCATCATGGCAGCACTGAAACTGCTTTCCCAAGAAATGCCAATACTTTGGAGCAGCCCTAACGTATTACATCTTTCTCTGAGCCTGTTACTGAGACCAGCAGAAGCAAATCCATGTCCTCAAAGTTTTTTCAGTTTTATCCCAGTCTTGTCCCTCTCATTTCTTCCCTTCTGCCCTCTGAACTGATGCTTGATTTTCCTCCTTATAGGGGGCAATAATTTTAAAATACTTGCAAGGTTAATTTCTCCAAGAGGGAGTGAATGCTGTGATCACTCTCCACGTGAATAGGACAGGAGTTAATTGATTTTAAAAATCCTCTCTGAAATGGAGTATATGAAATAATAAATATTCCAAGAAGAATGTTGTAGATCTTCAGGATTAAAGTACAGGTTATGCACTTTCAAATAAATTTAATTTTGGCAGGTCTACTTTGACAGGTCCTAAGCTGGAGCCTGTTCCTGGTACTTGGAGATTGCTCTCACCATAAGAAGCAATCCCCATTTTCAGTATTTTTCAGGCTTTTAGGTTCTCTCCAGTTCAAAGTGAGAGAAGACACTAAAATTGGCACCAGCACAGTGGGAGCTCACACAATGTGGTAGGAAACAGCATCCCCTCTCCCTCAGATCCCAGGGCTTTGGTCACTGGGTTCTTCACGCATCTTCCTGGATCCGTCTGTTCACAGCCCTTCCAGGCTTCTGCTTGTGCTCAAAAAGGCTCCCTGAGAAATGGTGAGAAAAAATGCTCTATCCTGGGGTCTGTGAGAATGCTGTATCCTGGCATCCTGATAATGAACTACCTGGGGGGGGTGATTGCCATTCCTGACCACTGAATTCAGGAAACCAGGTGTCCCTCCCCAAGCAAGGCTTGGTTTCAGCCCAAGGTCACCAGACCCATCCTGAGCGAGGCAGGAGAAGCCCACAGGTGTTCCAGACACCTCCCACGTGCAGGATGCTCCAAGCTGCTCCCATCCCTCCTGCACCAGGGAGGTCCCTGCTGCTCCCCAGGCACAGACGGTGGCAGGAACATGGTGCCAGCCCAGGGGGCTCTGGATGATAATTCAGATTTAGAAATGAGGCTCTGTCCCCTCGTACACGGGGGAAGAAGATGAAGAAATCTCTTCTTAATGAGAGCCAGGGTGCTTGGAGAATTCACCACTGTGGTCTCTCTGATAACTTCATGGCAAGGGCTTGTGGAGGCCTCAGGGCATTGCCAGGAACCTGAGGAAGCATTTCTGTACCAAAAGGGTGGTCAGACACTGGGACAGGCTGATCACCTCATCTTCTCAGAGACATGGTCAATGCCCCAAGCCGGTCAATGTTTAGGAAGTGTTTGGAAATCACCCTCGAAAACCTGCTTTAACTTTTGGTCAGCCCTGAAGTGGTCAGAGCTGGACTGGTCATAATCACTGCAGGTCATTTCAGCTGAAATAAACAGAACTGGTCTGGTCTCTTCCATCCCAAACTGGAGGAGTGCTTGGGGAAGCTGAGTGCAGTGAAGATGAGCAGCCGGAACTGGAATGTGGCAAAAAGGGAACTGTGTCCTCCCCACAAGCAACCTGAGGCTGATGAATTCCATGTTCATTCTCTGTCTGAAACCACCTCTCTGGAAGTTTAATTTCAACGATCTGCAGATGTAAAAGCTGCTGGTGCAGGCCTGGAATCTCCACAGCTCCATATGTGAACATGCCAGGCCAGGGATGAGCTCCCCAAAGGCCAATGGGAAGGATGCTCTTGCTATTCCATCCGCATTTCTCACTGAACATGCAGATGAGTTTAATTTCTATTTAATCAGACTCTGCAAACATTAATCACTTGAGAGTTTTCCTGCTTCACATGCAGTGATTACCCTTCTTCCCCCAGCACTGCTCGTACCAGGCTGGGGGCTCTCAGCCCCGCCAGGTGACATCTTTCACTTCAAGGAGGTTCTGGTGCTTTGCTGTGAAACACACTGTGAGCTGGAACTTGCTGCATCCGGAGGTGGCTCAGTGGCATCGTGTTCTCCTTGGGGCTGAGGTGCTTCTGACATCTCTGCTCTGCCCCTGGAGCAGTGCCAGGAGTGGAGACATCAGTGGAGCCTTGTCCACATCACCCCTCACTACAGGGGGTGACCCCAACTGCAGAGAGAGCCCAGTGCTGGGTGTTTGCAGCACGCCCAGTGCTGTATTTGCAGCGTTTGTGCTCTTGCTCTGCAATCTCTGTGTGTCTGTGAAATTCAGCACTGCAGAGATCAGGGACAGCTGCTGCTGTCCCAGCTGTAATGGCAGACACAGGGAATGACTTCCCACTGCCAGAGGGGAGGGATGGATGGGATATTGGGAAGGAATTGTTCCCTGGGAGGGTGGGCAGGCCCTGGCACAGGGTGCCCAGAGCAGCTGGGGCTGCCCCTGGATCCCTGGCAGTGCCCAAGGCCAGGCTGGATGGGGTTTGGAGCAGCCTGGGACAGTGGAAGGTGTCCCTGCTATGCAGGGGTGGCACTGGGTGGGCTTTGAGGTCCTTTCCAATGCAGACCACTCTGGGATTCTACAATCTTTGGTGTCTCAAACCCAAACATGTGGGTCCCATTCCTGCACCTGCTGGGGATGTGCCCGAAGTCTGCAGTGCAGAGAGACCTCCCTGGCAGGTCCAGCTCCATGAGTTCAGCACAACAGAGGCTGAAAACTGATGGGCTGGAGGCATACACCTGAATTTTTTGTGAAACTTTATAGAGAAAGAGCTGGAGCTTTTGCACAACTTTAGCTCCCAGAGTTTTGTCCCTTTGTGTTTATAATTTTAGCTCAGACCTAGAGGCATTTTTCCTCCAACAAAGGAATGATATTTTTCTTGCCCTATGGGTGGAGGACACTGCTCCTTGAATTAAAAACTGCTCCTTCTGTGTCCCTGAGCAGTTTGAGGATGCTGAAATTGGCTTTCCTAGACCACCAGCATCCTGTTACAGGTTGTGGGCCATGTGCTGACACTTGCATTTAATGTCTGCAGTGACACCCCTGTGATCATCTCAGCTGTCTGTCATTGCATGGGCAGTTATTTCTGACAGCTTATTCCAAAGCAGGTCAGTATGGGCAAGGGGAAATTTAGGCAGTAATTAGGGTTAAAAGAGATTTATTGCAGTGTGCCAGGCGTGGCACTTGACATCCTCAGCCTGATACTGCCACTTCCAGTGGATTTATCATCTTCCCTTTTGGGGAGGTGATGGTGGAGCAGGGCCTTTCTGCCCAGGAATGGTATTAAAGTAAAATAAAACATCTGTCAGCCATCCCTTACTGTTCTGTGCCCAAATCCCTGTATCCCTGGCAGTTCCTTAATTCTGTCTCCTCTTTTTTTCCCCCTTTTCCCCTCCAAATTTCCCCAAGCCTTAGCAGCTGGCTGAAAGTGGAATGAAATCATCCCA